TGTGATTTCATTTAACAAGTCTACGGTAGCATGCTGCCCAGAGACGTGGAGTGCAAGCACGCACACAGAGTACATGGTGCCCGTGAGAATATGAGTTGCTGTGTTGTGTAGTGTGCTTTTTACTTTAGGAGAATTAGGGATCACGTAACTGGCAAATGCGTGAGGGAAGGGAAGTCTGGACCAGGCCTTGGCCACTGTCCCCTATCCTTTTGATAGAACACTAGAATAGGGTGTCTGCAGATTCATGTTAGTGACTTCCATAGCTGTGTTATTTTTGCCCCTTGACATCAGAGGGTCTGTCACTCTTGTATTAATGTAAAACTGTGACATCAAGGCGGTCAGTCCACTATAACGATTCAGTACGAAAACTGGTCCAGGGAGTTCCTTCTGGCTACAGGCACTGGTAAGAAATACTACTTCCGGTGAGATACAAAAAGATTAGAAAGAAGCAAAGAGTGGAGGGAGAACATTTGTTTTTCATTCTTGGGCCACTCTCCTTTCAAAACACAATAGGCTTTAAAATGTTCAACAGGTGATCAAAGAGAGAGCTTGGCAGCACTCCTGATCAGAAAGGTGTGGGATGTGGAAAGCTTTGTGGAGAGAAGAATGAATGAGACTCGGTGCATAGCTCCTCTAAATCTGGAGATGAATATTTTTCAATTGTTCCAACCCCTCATTCTCTGCCAAATGAAGGTTCATTTTGTGTGCTTTCTGGTCAGCCAAGCAGGCCGCACATGCAGTGCCAGGGTCAGACGTAGAGATAGTGTTCACCCAATGAAAAACAGAAGGACGGTCCAATGAAAAATTACCTGGACATTTACATAAAGTTGCACAGATCAGGCTTGCAATCCAGATATATTGGGCCTGCAGGGGACTGCTGAGGCTGTGATGTCCTTGGGGGATGTCATGAGTCACTGGCTCAGTTGGGGGGTGAAAGTGCCCTTTCCGTCAACCAGGTCACAGGGGGTGTTTTCCTTCCCAGAGCTCTAATCTCACTGGAAGTTTCTGTTTAATGTAGAATCAGATCCTCTTGGGGCTTCTCAGCTTGTGAATGCTTCACAGATTTGTTTTTGTGCTCTGGTGCATGTACTTTTAAAAGCATATGCAGTTATTTGTGTCTGAACATCCCACCCATATTAATGAACACTGTATAATTATTGGGTGGATTGACTTTTGCTCCTCTGGCTGTATTTTAAAGATGTTTTAAAAGCTTTGCTGGAGTCTGCGTACATTTCAGAAATTAAATTTAGACTGTGATTTTATTACCCTTTTTATTTAATTTATCTTAACTGTTGCTTTCAAGCTGTGAACCAGCTGTTGACTTTGGAAAAACATTGTTCAATTTGAAAGGAGCATTTTAAAGCGTAATGTAATGGCTGTAAGTAATCACTACAGCAATTATATTCTCTGGTGTTGCGCTTCACTATAATCATTTTGGAGGTTGAGAGAACATGCAGGATGTTAGGGGAAGATGTGCATCAAATTCAGACTCCTCATCCTCGCCATGAAGGCCCAGCACGAGCCTGCTGTGAACATAACCCTGCTCCCCCTGTCTGCCCTAGCAAACCTCCCTCTCCTCTCCCACTCCCCATGTTACAGCTTCTGACAGACCAGTTCCTGTGCCCTCAGACAGACTGCCCCATGGCCTCCCTCTCCGAGCTTCTGTCTTATGCGGTGTCTGCACCTAGCCAGAGGATCTTTCTGAGGGCCCAGTCCTGCGACAAGCCCATGAGTGCCTCAGCTCCCAAGGAGTCGGGCCCTGTGTGTCACTGGGTGTTGTGAACTGTAAATGTCCAGAGCAGAAAGACTGACGCTGCACTCCCTCGTCCTTTGGGTGCCAAGCAGGGGAGCACACTCGGCTCTCAGCTGGGTCTGCTTGCTCTTCCCAGGCTGGACGTGCCTTTCCTCCTCCTTTAATAGATGGCAGCTGGATCCTCATCTCCAGGGCAGGTTCATCTGCTCGTCTCAGCCACTGCCACCCCCCGCAGACCTGACAAGGAAAATGGAGCTTTGGTCCTTGACCCTACTTGGGGCACTGTGGGGCACAGAGCCGTGGGACCGGTTGGGTCATACGCCATGCTACACGGGGCCAGGGACTGCCTCTGAGGCTCTGGTTACACTAAAGAGCTTACCGTGGTGCAGCCACACCGCCGCTGCAAGCGCTCCCGTGTAGCAGCTCTAAGCCCGCAGGAGAGAGCTCTCCCCTCGGCGTAATTAATCCACCCACAACGAGCAGCGGCAGCTGTGTTGTCAGAAGTTCTCCCGCCCACACAGCACTGTGCGCCCCAGCGCTTAGGTCGGTGTAACTGACGTTGCTCAAGGGGGTGTTTCTTCCACATCCCTTAGGCTGAGCTACATACGTTTTGTGGACACAGAACTGGCCTCAGAGTCAGGAGTGTGTGTGTGGAGGGGTGGGGAATGCTCAGAAATCTCTAATCCCCATCCCCTAGAAAAGAATAATAATGGAGGGTTAATGAGCAGTTAATGGTTTGTGCCTCTCATCTACTTTAGGAAGGAATCTCCTCTGTTTACTTGGTAACTGCGGGGCCACCCATGCCAGGGCTCTCGGAGAAAAGCCTGTCTGGGTTATTGTCAGTGCAAGAAAAGAGAAATAGCCAGGACTTAGGGTTTCCCCCTCCCCCTTTTTTTGTGTGTGCAAAAATCAGGAGGGTGCTGTGCCACTTCCTGTATTCTGGAAAATCTCTCGATAATGGTTTTTAACCAAGGTCCAGGTTAATATGCACTTTGTGCTGGGAATGGGGTGCATTTCACCTGGAATAATTTGGGGTATGTTTTATCTTCACTTGCTTGTGCAGTGCTCTATACAGACAGTCTGACATGTTGTATGCTTAGGGATGCCTGGCCCTCTCCCCTCCTTTCTCCAGGATGCACTGGACACCAGGTTCAAGCCATATATTGTGCCAGGACATCACTTCCCCTAAGAGCTTTCTGAAGTAATAATGCAGTCGAGGAAAGCCCGGAAGGAAGCTTAGATCCTGCAATGTTCTAAACCTTCCCCTGAAAATTGTTTTGTGGCAGTGTGATGGAGTCTATCAACCCCGCAATAGCCCAACAAGGATTAACCACACACTGGGGCTCAGGAGGCCATGCCCCCTTGCCCTTGCTGGGCATGCTGCAGCTGGACCCAGGGTATAAAAGGAACCAGCTCAGCTCAGTCTGGGCTGACTGAGGAGGAGAGTGGACGCATGCTGCAGGCTCCTGCTAGGGAGCTGCTAGAGCTCCAGACAGCAGAGGCCGAACACTCTGAGCCATTGAGGGCCCCAGTTGACCACGGAGACAGACGGCCGCTGCCCCCGGAGGAACTGCCGGAGCTGGAATCACTGGTAGGAAGCAGCCCAGGGAATGCGTTTGTGGAGGTTGGAACCTGAACCAGAAACCAGGGCTACTGGTTCCACAGGGCCCTGGATGGGGACCTGGTGAAGTAGAGTGGACAGGTCCCCTGCCGTGCCTACTGCTGGGTGTGGCAACCTCCTGAGATATTAGGCACCACTGCCTGGGTCTGTGAACGTTGGGCGCTACTGCCTGAGACCAAGGACACGGCCGCTAGGCCTCGCTGCCCTGAATGCAAGGGGCTGCAGTCATCAAAAGAGTGTGAGCTTTCGCTCTCTCCCACTCCCCTTTCTCCTCGGCAGCCTGACACCCCACGATGGGGTGTATCAACCCTGCAACAAGCGGGTTGTTAGATTTGAGTGGTGCTTGCTTGGTTTGTGTTTTGTTATGGAAAGAAAGATCCGATGGCAGATCCTGAGCCCTGCAAAAGGCGTCTAATGCTGACGACAGCTGAGAGAGCACCAGGGTGGGGGGCAGGAGGCAGAGGGAACTTTGGCAGAGCCAGGAGACCAAAGAGACTGGTGGTGATCATGCATTTGGTTGCCATGGTTTTAGAGACAGGATGGAAGATGCACATTGCAATGGGGTTAGCCATGGCGCTCATGTTGGCTGTGGAGGGCAGTTTAGTCATGGTGTTGGGATTGGGATGATCATTAGGGTGACCCTTCTACTCATCTCAGTCCCAATTTGGTATTAATAATGTCATTTTTCAATATGTAACCATGGACTTTCAGTCAGAATAACCTTCCCGTTATACTGAAATAACAGTAACGTCTGCCTGAGATGGGGAGAGAGAAAGCACTGAGTGAGTATGAGAGAGAGAGAGAGTGTGTGTGTGTATGCATGAGCCTCCTTTGTGTGTCTGCTGTGAACTGAGCACAGAATGGCCCCCGCCTTTGCAGACAGCAGTCCTGTGAGGTGTAAAGGTGCAGTGCACAGGAAATCACAGGCATAAACACAGGTACGTGTCTAAACATGCCTCATTTCAGGTCACTCTCCAGGAGGAGCTGGGTGCGTGATGGTGGCTGTGGTACAAAGTGAGATGGGAAGACTCTGCATCATGGTGGCAACGGCAACCTGACTTATGATTTACAGCTTATCCTTCTGCACTGCTAACACCTCCTGACTAGTCTCCGGGATAACCATAGTACCCCAGGGCCATGTCTCCCCCTTGAGAGAAGGCAGGAACTCCTCAATCTCCCAGTGGTAGAGTCGCTCTCATTAGCTGTTCATATGATTTTGAGCTCCAGCTCAGAGATGAGCAGGACTCGCTCCCCACCCCGTGCGGTTTGCTGGTCCCAGCTTCAGGAGCTGTATTGCTGGCTACCTGCATAGGTAGGAAATTGGAGAGGGAGTATCTTTAATAAAAGCAGTTCAGAGCAATCTGGGTAAGGCCTGCTCCTCCTGGCATGTTTGGGATGAGAGCTAAGCTACCAGTCAGAGCCTGCACCCATATCTGTATATAAAAGCAATACAACAAAAGGGAACTGCAGGGCTGGAGATGGAAATGGAACAGTGTTCTGGAAAGTAAAAAGCTCAGCCACCATCCCAGGGTATTTATTAATGTAGCAGCATGAAATTCCTCTTGGTGCAGCAAATGGGACATAAAGTGTAATTCCCGATGAAAGCACAAAGAGACATTTTCAACAGACGGAAAAAACAACTTTAATACAAAAATAAAAATTGATAGACTACGCTGTTGGTAATCCAAATACCAGGTAACTCTTTAACAGAACCCCTTACCATCTGCAAAGTATATTTCAGTTGTTAAATGAGCTGCCTGATCTGTCATCATCCAGGATTTAAAATGACGAATCCTACCCTCTTCCATCTTCTTCACTGTAAAAAATTAAAAAAGATTTATGACAAATGGCTGCCGAGCTCTGTGGAGACTTCTGACCCACAGACCGTGCTCTCTGTCACTCGGGCTCGAACACGGACACTGACCTTTCAGTGGCATGTCTCCTCCCTATTTTAAAGCTGTTTTTGAGGATCCCCCATTTTAGGGTGTGTTGGTGAATTGTACGTGGCTGATGTGTTAAGTCACTGGTAACCAGTCCGTGAGCTGTCCAACAGACATTGTGATCAGCAGCTAAATATCTGTGGTGTTGGGGTGGAACTCCAGACTCTGCTCCTGGATGGTGGGAGGCTTACACCTCTGCTAAAAGAGGAGAGCCTTTAGCAATCCTGGTGTTGGGGTTTAGAGCGCTGCAGCCACTAACATGCCCTGATCAGATCTTGGAGCCCCTCTGACACATTCCAGCTTTTGTACATTTTATGTATAGAAATGACCAAGACCTACTCACTTTTTTGGCTCAGTTTTTATTATTGTTTCACCTGCCTCTAGGTGGAAACGGTGGGTGCGCACAGAGCCATCCCTTGCGTAGGGCGAATCGGGGCGACCGCTCCGGGCCGTGCACTTTGGGGGCCCCACGGCCTGGTGCGATTGGCTGGAGCCATCGGTCCCAGAAGACACGAATCTGTCACTTACGCCCTGGGCCCCGCACCCTGCGAGGGACGGCCCTGGGTGCACAGGGCAGCTCCAAGCCCAAAGGCCGTGCTACGTCTTCTGCTCTTTGCAGCAAGATCCATATTCCCTGGATTGGATGTGAAGGTCTAAGGCAGGAGCTTTCTTGGCTCTACATTGTGACATCTGCTGCAGACATAGGAAGGGGGTGAGGGCCAGTTTGGCCCAGTCAGTCTTCTTTCTCTCTGCCGAGACTGCCAACAAGGGAGGGGGTTGCAATTGTTTTTGTGATGGGGCCCCATGCCCTTTAACAGCAGGCTGGGATTTCCCTACCCCCCCCCCCCCCATGTGTTACCCGGGGTTCTTTCAACCCAAAGCTCTTGGTAACTTTTACTCTGTGCGAGGTGGTGCCAGGAAATAAATCAGGGGAGACTATGCCGTCCGACCGATCAATGGCTGTCACAAACAGATTAGTAAAACACCCCCAACCCTTGATAATTACCGAAGCTGAGTGTGGCTCTCGAGTGGCACAGCGGCAGCCCGTCTGCTAGTGGGGAACACAAGATGCATCCAGAGGGAGAGTCCAGTCCTGAAGAGTCCCCCTACCTCAAACTTTTCCCCCTTATTTATACATTAGTAATAGAATGACATGTCCCTTAAAGCAAACTAGTTAAGTAAGCAGTTTCAATGGTCAACTGAGAGGTTCCTTCTGATTATCGATTAACCAGGTGTGGGTTTTTCCAGCGTTTGCAGCCTTGAGGCCCCAATAGACATTCCTGGGGCACATCCTGCTCTTCTAAGATGCATGTATCAGCAACTTCAACACAATTCTTAACAGGAAGGACGCGGGATGAAGCTGCCCTTTCTGTGGCTCCCAAAAACCCCCTTCCCCTCCTGCCTTGGTTAAGCTAAGCCTGCTGACTTGGCTAATTTACAGCCTGCTGACTTGGCTGCTTTTAGCAGTAAGCCATAGTGGTTTCAGGCACTTTACTGGTTTGCCAAAGTCTCCCTGTACACATGGGGGTGTTTATCCCCCCTTGAATCCTCCCCCCCCCCCCACAATTTTGTGAACGACTTACATGCAGTGTTGCCAATTTAGTGATTTGGAAATTTGAATTGAAATTGAAACATTAATACACACTTTAAAAGCATATAAAGTGTATGATAAAATACATGTATCTGGAAAAGTATAATAGATCTGAAAAGTATGAACATAGACTAGCTTCCTTATATAGCTGTTGTTTTTATGACCATGTCAGTGCATTCATTTCAGTGATGTTGGCCAACCTAATAATTTCAAATTATGATTTGTAAGCAAAGTCTAAATGAGCTCTCCCTGACAGCTAGTGATGAGCTAGGGGCCGTGGGGGAAGGCTTCAGGACCAGATTGTATTTACATTCACACCTAATCTACCTAGGTATCCAGCAAACAGAGCTGTGTTGCCCAAGTGATAGATTTTGGCTGGGGTTGGGTTACAAATCACTTGAATGCGGGAGGTAAAGAAATGTTGTTATTCTTATTGTATGAGTAAAGGGCAGTAGCCTCTGCTGATCGAGGGCATCAAGAGACAGGGTGGGGACAGGTGTTTTGCTTGATGGTCTGCCTGAGTCATAAGTACGATTTGACCTTCCCCTCTCCACTGTTTAAAGACAGAGTTGATTAGACTCCATAGATAGTCTTTTGTTCTGTTAAGTGATCACTACAGCTGAAATCACTGAGAATCAGGTCTAAGTGCTTAGACCTGCTGTGGGACTGTGTTTCTGCGGCAGAGACGGCCCAGTCTGCACTAGCAGCGAGGTTCCCCCTCTGAGAGCTCAGCTGAAATCACTGAGAGCCGGTGGAACCTCAAGAGACCAACTCGCAGAGGTCACAGTGGCAGGTGGCAGCAGAAGGTGATGGCGCAGGGCCAGTGGCAACAGAGCGATGGAGTGAACGGTGGCACAACGAACAACAGTGGCCAGAGCGAACAGTGAGCAGCTGGAGGAACGAGCAAGGTGCCTTCTTGCCCCCCACCTGGGAGCACCTTTGAACTCTGAGTCTCCACTGACCAAGGACAACACCAGTGAGTGTTAATGAGGCTATTAAGAATGCTGGAGACACAACACAGTTCATGCAAACAAACATAGCCGTGGTATCATTCTTTCTATTTAGGCAAGAGATACCACACACTACAAACTGGAGGCCGATGTTAAGTGCATTGTCACTTGTTCATCCTGAAGTTGAACACTGGTTCCGAACAAGACCAGCAAATGCTCACTATCTTTCTGCAAGAAACTCAGCTGACTGGCTAGACGCATGTGGTCAACAGTGAAAGACTCAGCAGTTGAAAAAAGTGAAGAACTCTCTCACCACATTCAAAAAATTTGCATACATGGCTGATAAATGCACCAATGCAAATGGGCATCAAGTATTAAGTCATTATGTACGTTATCTTGATGTCAGAGGTAGGCCAGTAGATGCATTTCTAGATGTTCAAGTTATAGAAGACAGATTGGCTGCATCTCTAACAACCCACATCTTAGAAGAGTTAAATGCTTGTCAGTGGGACCCCAAACACATGGCTGCTTGTGCATTTGATGGAGCTGCAAACTTCTCTGGAAGACATGGTGGAGCACAAGCTTTGCTCAGAGAAAAGTGTAACCCTAATCTGTCCTATACACACTGCAGAGGCCATCTACTCCAACTAGCGCTAGTACGAGCTGCAGACTCTTCAAAAGACATTTAAAAAGCTGTACATTTAATGTCTTCATTATATTCTTTTTTCAGCAAGAGTCCAAAAAGACTGAATATCTTGGAAAATATAGAAGATACACTGGGACTGAAGTTCAAATTAGTCCATTAGTCCAACCTGGGAAAACCCTCTGGCTTTCTCATGAGTGATCCTTGGCTGTTGTCTTAAAATTACTCCAGCCATTATTACTGGCTTTGGAAAGTATCTACCAAGATGGGATGGATCTAAGTAGTGAGGCTGGTGGATTAATTTTGCTACTACGTTCAGAGAAGACTATTGCCATTCTCTCTCTTGTAAGTCTACTACTGAAACCACTTGGGTCATTAAACAGTGCTATCCAGGCATCTGCTACAACAGTAGTAGATCTTTGTTCAGCAAAGCTTGTCCAGAAGCTACATTTGGATCAATCAGATAGCTATCCATTGAAAAAGTACTGGAAGAAGCAAAGACTTCAGTCCAGAAGTTGACTAATGAAGGCATTTATATTGAATCCTTAAGTGAAGAGGATAAGAAGTGTTTGTTAAGACAACTGAAAAAGTACACAGACTTGATTCTTAAAAGTCTACAACAGCGACTTCTAGATTCTACTCAACCTCTACGTAGCTTTTACAGATCCCTGTTTTATAAAACACCGACAGCTGAGTGGAGTGAGGAACTACCAGCAATGGGGCTGCCATGTGCTCAGGCCAGAATAGAGAATTTGAACACAGAGTGGAATATCACACTATGAATCAATGAAGATTTGACTTCAACTTCTTTTTTATCATTGCTAATGGCTCGACCCGATCGTTGTGTGCTGTTTCCTGGGCTGAAAGAAGTAGGAATTCCTCTCTTGCTACTCCCAGTCACAACAGCTACAGTTGAGCGTTCTTTTTCATCATTGAATAGAATTTTGTGTTCTGAAAGAAGTCGCCTTCTGCCTGATCATGTGAATGAACTAATGAGCATATCAATTGAAGGAATGGAAGTACCGGACACACGAGAAGCCACCAAAGATGAATGCATTGCATTCAAGAAGTTCATTAACAGAGTTGTGCAAAATTATAACAAGAAACCAAGAAGGCTGTAGACGTCGTGCTTCATAGAAGGCTTGAGTAGCTAATTTTAATTTGTGTGATGATTTTAAAAATCTAATAAAATGGTCATGAAACATTTTTCAGTTTTTACTTTGGTGCCATACAGCCCACCTTCACCCTCACGGTCTCACCCCTCATCGGCCCTGACACCCTCTTCCTCCCCGTAAATTTGAACACCCCCCCTAATTTCAGTTCCTGGGAAAACACTGGCAGCCGCTTTTGCTGAGCAACTGTTTTCACTGGTTCTGCAAGGAGCTGCTCTGTCCTGCAAAGTAGCTCATTTGTCTTTATCCTCAGAGGAGCTCCCCTGCCGCTCCTGCTTTTTGGTTTGTTTTGGGCGTGTAGGAGACTCCAAGAAGTGCAATGAAGAGGAAGCAAGTTCAGTTCCTTCACCCTGTGTGGATGTGCTGCTGGGAGGGGAGGAGCTGGCTCCCAGCTTTCACTCAGCTGGAATCTCCTCATTTATATGCCTCAGAAACAATGTCTGTGAATTTAATTAATCACAGTTTACATGCTAATAACCCTTGAAATATTTTTATGGGTAAATAATGGAAATTCCCTGCTGTGGGGGGATCTGCTGGTTCCAACCTTCAATTATTTCATAATTTCCTTTCCATATAAGGATCAGAGAGTGAGACCATGGCAACTAACAGGAAAGGAAAATTAGCAGCTGTGGTGTGGACTGGTCCTAGAGCGGGAAAAATCTTATCCAATGGCTGTTAAGTGTCAATGTGTAGTAAGGGAGGCCTGACTTCTTTGGTGCCACCCAGGGAGCACACCAAGTTCAGGGTAGCCTGGACTCTGCTGTCGGCTCCAGCACTGAAATCACAGCATCTCTAGTTGTAACGGGGGAGCGAGGCTCAGACTAGGGAGGCCTCATGTTGGATTCAAAGTGTGTTCCTTGGTTGTCCTGCCTGGCTGGCTGGCTACGTAGGCTTGCCTGCCTGTCAGTGGTACCAGGGTAGAGACAGGGAGTCAGGGATTCACCACGTGCTCAGGACTATATGGAATAGGGCCCCACAGACTACTAAAATAGATACAGACGTGAGGCCAGATTGGTACGACCAAGGGGGTAGAGATAAATGTGCCTTTCAATCACTTTTACTTCCCTCCTGTTGCTGGGGCTGGTCAGGGACAGAGCACCCATGCCTCCTGAGTCCGGCACCAAGTGAGGCTCGGCTGGGCCAGTGGCTCTGGCCCTATGCCCTTCTCTATCTGAGGTGTTTGCAGAGCCCCAGCCTGCCCAGTCTCTGGGCACCGGATGAGTTATTATCCACAGGGTCACGTTCACAGATGCTATGGCCTCAAGGGAAGTGCTCCGGTCATGGCCACTTTCTCCTGGGAATGGCCCCTAAGCAAGAGGGGAGGAGAGGACGTGGCATGGGCCACAGGCCAGCTCTGCTGTACCATGGATTCCCCTCACACAGTGGGAATACTCACACAGAGGGGTCAGTTGGTGCAGTGCCTGGAGGAAGAAATTTCCAGACAACTTTCCTCTGACTCTGTTACTAGATGACATGTCTGTGGAAATTCTCAGTCCCCTTGTGGAGCAGCCGCCCCCTGGGGAAGCTGCCCTCCTGCCCCCGCTGCTTTACAGCCTCAGGGACTGCTGTGAGCTCCACACTGTCTGCACTGGAGCTTGCAGGAGAACATGACTCCCAACAGGGCAGATAGGGTTGGGCTGACTCCAGCTTTGCTCTCACTGCTCTCTGGGGCCACAGCTCAGTGCACAACCAGCTCCCCTCGGAATAGGGAGAGGCAGTGCGCTGGTGGGGCTAGAATAAAGCAAATTCACATGCTATGGAGAAGAGAAAAGCGCGAAGGGATCGTTCACCGGACACATCTCTGCAGCTCAGAAAGGGCCTGGTGCCACTTGTGCCC